CATTCGCAAAACCCTAATTTCTATAAGTAAACCGCGTCACGTTACACTATGACCTCTCACTGGCTGACTGGCGAATCACCAATTAAAGCATCAAAGCTGGTTTCATATATGTTATTAACAATTTTTTAAAAGTTCTTTATTTTTGTTACACAAAATTGATTTACATGTTATACCTGATCTTCACTTCTGATTGGCTAGTGAATTCGCCACCAGTGAGCATTAAACTTCTCCATAAAAAAATTATTTTAAAAAATTTTTCTAAAAATTTTTAATAAAGTGAAAATTTCAATAGTTATTATGTTTCATTATAAAAATTTTCATGTGTTGCATTATTTATAATTGCCAGTATATTTAATAGTACACTTTTTTTCCTTCATTTATAATTTCAGTTTCAAAGTAAAATAATCCGCATTGTGAAGGAATTAGATTATTGGTTCGAATTGCAACAGCTTTATAATCATTGGGATCATTAAAAAAATTTTTAACTATATATCAATATATTTTTGAGAAATTTCTCTTATTAAAATTTATTACACATCTTACCCGTATAATTCACTTTAATCCCACTTGAGTCTATGCTAACAAACTGTGATTTATCAACATTCCACGCGGTTGGTAAAACAGGGCCATTGAACAAAGTAGTCTCTCCCATTACATCAAATTTCTATTCGGATTTTTTTTATCTAGGCAAACGATTTTATTTTAAACGATTATTGTAAGCAAAAATGTAAGTCTAATTTATTTAACAGTCCGTATGTACCTTCATACATGTTATACATTTTTCGCATGTGCGCATTGGCTTATTCCCAAAGTGGTAGATCAAAACTTTTTATCGTGATGTCTGCATGCTGTGATCGTTAAAACTTATTTATAAAATTATTAGAAGAGCAGCATAATGTTATACGTATCAATTACTATATTCAATTAATATGGCTATGGTACGATTTCCCAAAAGTTATTTCCACAACATGTCACTTACCCGATATCACACAGGTGACAATTTGCTAAAAATACATATCTACAACTAAAACAGTGTTTAATCCTAGCCCTATGTGATGTCAGGGAAATAATTTTTCAGGAAAGTGGACTTCGAGAAAGTGAGAATCAACGTACGAATACTAACAAATTTTTAATAAATATTAAGCTTTTTAAAAAGTTTAAACGAAAATATTTCAACCATATCGGCTGATCTGGTTTGTGGGGCCTTTTTCGATAAACTGTTACACGAAAGTTGGCTCCTAAGTGACGTTGAAAAGTAACGAACGAAGCACTTGTTACAACTAATTTTTTAACTTTTACCGTTTGTTGAAATACTCGGGTGTTTTATGATGGGTTGGGCATTGTTTGATGGGTTGATAACTATCAAGGGTAAACTCGGAAGCTAATTTTCAAAAAAACGGTATAATTAATAAATTTTCGTGTAAAATTTTTTTGATAGTCCTTGATTATGATTGGTCGATTTTGGGTTAAAACAATTCGGCCGATATGCTATTTGTTCAGATTTAAAAAAAAAAATTATTTTTTATAATTAAAATGATTTTTATAAAATTTGGATTGTTGCTAAGATATTTAGATTTTGTTTTATTAGAAGAACAATGCCAAATGTGGGATACAAATACTGATCCTCTTAATTGTAAAAGTATTTAGAGATAGAAACGGCGTGTGAAAAAAAACTTTTTTTTTAAAATTTATAAACAAACAATTAAAGCTATCACCGAAGCCTATAATCCGAAAAATTCAAATTTTTGCTTGGATAAGGTCACCTCACATTCAGTGCAAAGAAAAATGAACCGTGGAGTGTATGCTAGTTTTATCTTCAAATTGCTCATAAACTCTGCGCTCATCATGTTCTCTCAATCTAACATAATCAATCCACTTTTAAAAAAAAAGTTAGACAAATTAATTAATAAAAATATAAAAATGACCCACATGTAAAATAATTAATAGCACTGTAAACATACCAAGCCAGTTTTTTTGTAACTTGAATGATTGTAAATTTCGAGATGAACGTCATTATATACCATTCTACCATCAACAACTTTTCGCTTAGGTATAACAATTTTATAAGGTAAACAATACTCGACCCATTCATTTTTGTCGGCAATATTGGCGTACAATGAACGATGTGGAGTGTGATTATAAAGTTTTTCATCATGAATAGCA